AAATATAAAGACCTGCAAATAGAAGTAGAACGACTGTGGCAAAAGAAAGCAAAGATAGTACTGATAGTAATAGGCGCCTTAGTTGCAGTCCCACAACATCTGGAGCACCGCTTGAAGACCATCGGCATTGACAAAATCACCAACGGTCCATTGCAAAAGGCAGCTTTACTTGGAACAGCTTCCATCCTGCGACGATACCTTTAACACCATCGAACAACACATCTACCTATCCCAGATCCTTGGGAAGGACTCGATAGGTAGATAAAAATGCCAAATCCAGTCTAAACATCTGGCTGACTGTGCGACCAACTATAATAATAATAATCCCTGCCAGCCTACTTTCCAGGAGTCAAATGACCAATCTCTGCATCCAAACAGTCAAGAAGAAGCAGAATTTAAGGGGAGATCAAAGGAATCATCCCAAACTGAAAGCAGAAGTGACTGTTAAAAAAGGAGCACTGCTTATCAAAATCAGAGAGGGACAAATCCCTGGAGCCCCTCGCTGTGGATGCCAGCTTGCCCCCTCCTCCCCCTCCAGCGCTGAAGAAAATAATGTCTATTAGGTGGCATTCTAGGAAAGTCAGCCGTATGCTATGGCTCCATCTCCCATCCTGTTTCTCTCTGGGAGCTTAAGTGAAAAGCCTTTCTTCCCGAGTCCCTCAAATCTGACAGACTTCCCAAGTCAAAGATCATCCAAATGATCTGGATAGGTTAGAAAAGCAGGCTGAAAATAACGGAATGCAATTTAACTGGAACCAATACCAAGGTCTTAACTTAACAAAGAAGAAATCAAACGTAGAGCTCTCAGGTGGGGCAAACCCAGGCTGGTAATGGGTGAAAACGATCTTTGAATTCTAGTTGCCTGCCAGCCAAGTTGAGTCGGCAGCAACATGGCTGCTAAAACCTCAGATGCAACTTTAGCTGCATGAAAAGATCCAAAGGCTTCCAAATCATGGGTGTTCATCATCGTTCTATGCGGTGTCCTCAAACTGTACCTTAAGTACTGGTTAATTAAAGAGACCAGGGGACTAGAAAGCAAGTCTTCCAAGGAGACACTAAGGCAACTGAGGGACTCTGAGGGTATATTTAGCCTTGAGAGTGGGGTGGGAAGATATCATAGCACTTTTCAAGCAACTAAAGGGCTG